TACAAACTGTTCACTCGAGTCATCCTGAATAGAATTAGCAGAACACTAGATGAAGGACAACCATGTGAACAAGCTGGATTCCGAAAAGGATTCAGTACCATCGACCATATCCACACGATTACTAAGCTCAGGAGTTCAAGATGCCACTCTGTCTAACGTTCATTGATTTAAAGAAGGCCTTTGATTCTGTTGAGACGGAAGCGGCCATAGAAGCCCTAGCCAATCAGGGCGTAAAAACTCAATACATTAGGATCTTTTGTGAGCTCTATTATGGATTCACTACCAGGATCTCACCATTCTACAAAGAAGTAATCATCCATGTCAAGAGAGGGGTTCGGCAGGGTGATACCATTTCACCAAAACTCTTCAGTGCCACCCTCGAGAACATCATGCGACGACTGGAATGGGAAAGAATGGGAGTGAAGATAGATGGTTGGCAACTACACCACCTCCGCTTTGCTGATGACATCATTCTAATAACACCAAACATCAGCCAAGAGGCACAAAAGCTGACCGACTTCGACCATGAGGGTGGAAAGGTCGGACTACAGCTGAATCTTACGAAGACAATGTTTATGAGAAACAGCCTTGTTCCAGACGCTCCATTCGCTCTCAATGGAACCACCATCTCTGAATGCAACAGTTATATATACCTAGGTCGAGAAATGAATATGATGAATGACCTGGCACCTGAGTTGCGCAGGAGGAAGAAAGCGGCTTGGAATGCCTTCAAGAGCGTTGAAGAAATAACTAAGAGGACAAAGAACCTCCAGCTACAAGCACATCTCTTCGATTCCACTGTTCTTCCTGCATTAACATATGCCTCAGAGACCTGGGCCCTACGAAAACAGGATGAGAACGCTATTCGGGTCTCTCAAAGAGGAATCGAAAGAGCTATGCTTGGAATATCAATTCACTCAAATGAGAGATAGAATCCGGAGTTCTGATCTCCATCAACGCTCAAGAATCAGGGACGCTATCTCATTTGCCAAGGCATCAAAAATCAGATGGGCTGGACACGTAATGAGGTTTACAGACAATCGCTGGTCTAGAGCCATTACTGACTGGATTCCACGGGACGTCAGAAGATCGCGTGGACGCCCGCCTACCAGATGGTCAGACTTCTTCGTCAAGACCCTGAATGATCAGTTTGAGGCTCTGCATGTTCCTAGAATGAACAGATGCCATTGGGCTACTCTAGCACGCAACAGGGATGAATGGAGAAGTTACTGGCACCCGCTAGAGTAATTCGATGAATAACGGGGGATCAAGTGATCAAGTGATTTATATATAGTATATATGTGTATATATATGTATATATGAGACTAATTTCCAAGGCAATGGTAATCAGGGACCAGGAGGACTGGTCAATGATTGGAAGCTTGCCACAAGAATGTGTGTGGAGTGAAGGGCAGTTAGGATAGAGAAGGGATCATCATGACAATAATAGTTGGAAATGATAATTTTGAACAGGAACTGAGTGTTGAAAGTAGGTAAAGGGGTTGAAAGTAGGTAAACTTGATAACTTTTCATTATCTGTATTGCAAACCATAAGGCCCAAAAGGAGAGATAGAGAGAGAGAAAGAAAGAGAGACAGAGAGAGAGAGAGAGAGGAGAAAAGTAACTGTAATAGTGGCAGGTGGGGGCGCAGAAGAAGAAGGGAAACAAGGACCATTGGTGGTGGGAAAAGTACACTGGTGAAGGGAAAGGATGAGTGTTGGAACATGATTTGACTGAAATTCAGTCATGAATGTGTTTATCACTGTGGGTTAATAAAATTTTTTTAATTAATAAAAAAAAGAGTGTTTAGAGCTGAGGAAACAGTATGAAGGACTGGAGTGCATTGCATGCCCAAGACACTGAGTTGGATCCCTAAGGTTTTTATTTGCAGAGCACTGCTGGGTATGTCCCTGCCCACCACCCCCACCCCGAACTGCAGGGCCTGAGCAGGCCGAACTGTGGGCAGAGCATTGACTCATTGACAGAAGTATAGACCCTGCATCTCCTGAGCAATGTTCTGGGGACTCCACCCCTCATCACACACACACACACACACACGCACACACACACACACACACAATCAGCCCATTTTGAAATGGATGTATCCAAAATTAGAAAAGGAAAACAAATCAATTTTGCAAAGAAAGACCTATTTAACTTGTTGGCAAAGAACTGGTAATCTGAAGTATAAATTAAGGAGTTTCTACTTCAAGCTAATGGCAGAGGCAGAGAGGTGGAGGGGAAAGACTTAAAAAGAGGGAAACCTGGGGTCCAGCTGCAGCTTAAACCTTCCTCAGTCCTCCATCTGGGCTGGAGCGATAGCACAGCGGTAGGGTGTTTGCCTTGCACGCAGCCAACATGGCCGACCGGAGTTCGATTCCTCCGCCCCTCTTGGAGAACCCGGCAAGCTACCGAGAGTATCTTGCCCGCACGGCAGAGCCTGGCAAGCTACCCGTGATGTATTCGATATGCCAAACACAGTAACAACAAAGTCTCCAATGGAGACGTTACTGGGCCCGCTCAAGCAAATCGATGAACAACGGGTGGGGAGGACAGTGACAGTGACAGTGACACTCCTTCATCAAGCCTCTATGTTGATTTCAGAACGTAACCAGCTCCCTGTGAAGATGCGGAGGACCTGGTCGGCTATTATTGCTCTTCTCCTTGCGCCTCACCTCAGCCAACAGAGCCAAGAGTAGAGTCTCCACTAGAGGGCTAGGAGGTAGGGACTGAGGGCTGAGTTCTGACTGAGTCCTATGCTAGGAAGCACACATTCTCATAAAGTGAATGGGCAAGTTAGTGATCAAGCTCATGACGTTGACCAGAAGCAACAAACAGAAGCCTGTTGTCATGAGAAAGGAGTGGCACTCCTAAAGAAACCACAAAATCTGGCCCAAATGGCTTTGGATTGCTCCACACGTATGGTGAATCTTGACTCTTGAGTTGAAAGTTAAGATGAGATAGTAAAGTGGGCACAGCACTTGCCTTGCTGACCCAGGTTTGATCCTGGCACAACATAGGAACCCTTAAGCACTGCCGGGAGTGACCTTTGAGTCTAGAGTCAGGAGTAAAAGCCTGAGCATGGTCCAAACAAAAAAAGTCTCTAGGAAAGGGTCACACTCTGGGACACAATCACAGCACTCCTTGGAGGATATTCCCCAGAATGGAGAGCAGAAGTTGTCCCAGAGGCTGCCCAAGGGCTTCAGGTGAGTCTTAGACTCAGAGTTGCCCTATACTGGCTAATAGTGCAACTCCGTCCTCCTACCTGTCTTTGTGCCCTTCCCTCTGGTCACAATACTTGGCTGTGGGAACTGTTGGCCTTAGTGAAGGCCTTACTTGGTTTTAGCTACTGGTACTTGAGAGAGTTCAAGCAGATTATATTTGTCCTGGATGATGGAGACTGCCAGAGAAAGAATGGTGACACCTTCCCTATTTCTCTATGGACAGAAGTGTGGGTTCCCTTCTCCTCCTTTGCACTTTCTATGATGTGGACTTTCCACTGATACTGGAAAACTGGGTCTTCCGTAATAGGGAGGAATTGTAAAATACTACCTGAGAGGAGTTCTGTGTAAGTGAGTGAGGGAATGTGCATGGGCACGTGATTGTGTGTGTGTGTGTGTGTGTGTGTGTGTGTGTGTGTGTGTTTATGGGTGCTATAGGAAATTCTCAAGCAAAAACACATGCTCTTTTTATCACCTTCATTATATACAAGCCATTAAGGCATCAAGACTAAGCCACATGGAGCTTAATGCTCTGCCTGCCAACTCTAAATTCCAACAAAGTGGTTCGAGCAGATGAAATAGCACCCAGTTAGGTAGGTTAAAACGAGACTGGAGTGTGAAACTCATTGAAACCCAAAACATGAGAAGTACAGACAAAAAAATATATTAATTCCTAGGAAAATCCCATTTTCTCTAAGAAACCACATTGTTTGCAACTTGTGCTCAGGTGGATTACATTTTTGGAACTAGCTTGCCTAAGAGCTCAGAGTATAGTCTATTAATTATATTAAAGCCTAATTTGAGGATTCAATTACCATTTACTTTCTGTGTGATTTTGACCAAGATTACTTACCCTTTCTGATTTCCAATTCATTTTCTGTTCAGTGAGGATACTGATAGAACTTAAGTTTTATTATTGCATTGTGATAGTAAAGTAAAAATTTAAAAAAATCTCCCAGTCAAGGGCTAAAGTGCAGCAGGTAGGACATTTGCCTTTCAAGTGACTGACATGGGCTCAGTCTCTGACACCCCGTATGGTCCCCTGAGTTTTATCAGAAGTGATCCCTGAGCACCATGAGGTGTGCCCACTGAAATAATTAAGAAAAAATGCAGTACCCATACTCTTAGTGGTCTCTATTTGAGTAGTAAATTTTCCTAGAGCAAATGCATAATGAGCTGATTTAAAGTACATTCCCAATTTTAATCTTCCACAAATGCAGCTCACTCCCATTTAACATCTATTCTTTGACCATCAATAGTTTCTATTTGTTTGCTTTGGTACCAGGATCAAGTCTCAGACATTTAAGGCATGTGCCTTACAGCTCTGCTGCATCCCAGCCCTACCCTACATTTTTTTCAACCAATGATTCTGATTTGCCACAAAAACAAAACCAAACTCTAGTTTCAAAACAGGCATCTTTATTATCTCTCCAGGTGGAGCCCCACCATAAACAGAAGCATGCAATGTACATTGGTCCAAGTGCTGGCTTTGGTGGCCCATCTGCCTAGAACAGTCTGATGGCAGTGGCTCTGTGGTCATCAGTCACAGTGCTGGGAAAACAGGAGGCGAGGAAGGCATCTGGGAATCCCTGAGTGCAAACCTTCCAAACTCCATTTGAGCATAATTTAGAAAAAAATAAATAATATAAATAAGTTGCCATTTACAGTAAAAAAGAGTCCTGGTGTGCTGTTTCCTGCCAGCACCCCAGGGGAGAGGTATCCATGGAAGTTCTGGGTGTTTCCGAGGCTCAGGCCCCTGCTGCATCAGCTCCCACAAGGTCACTTGGACATGGCAGTGACTGAAGACTGGCTGGTACTCTGTTCCAGGACCTTGATGAGACCCTGGACCCAGGATTCACTGGGGTTGGCACACACCTCCCGGCCCCTTTTGGTCTGGAAGCTGTGGAGAGACGGGGAGGATTAAGCCCAGAAAAAGGGAGTTTGAGGGGGCCATGGGGAAGGGGCCCTGTACTCCATTATGCCCTGGGTAGGACAAGGCCTAGCCCCTTTTTCAGGGACCCTCTGCCTATGCCACTGACTCAGGGCTTCCCTCAGAGGTTCGTGCTGCTCCCTTTTCCCATCCTTCCTCTCTGGACTCAGCCTTCCCATGCCTCTGCTAACCCCCACCAGCCCAGAGAAACTTCACCAGCTCAGGGAACTCCCAACACCTCAGGGAACCTCCAGATTTCAGTTCAGAGGCCTAAGCCTGTCCACCCGATAGAACCCCTGGATCTGGACCTTCCCAGCACAGTGACCCCAGGCCTGTCTGTGTCCTTGGGCACACTTCTCACTCCAGACCCTCCCTGTCTCTGAAAAAGATGCGCAGGAAATTGGATACTTACATGATACCCGGCTTGGAGCACTGGCTGTTGGTTTCGAAATAGCTGACAGCGAATTTGCGGTTTAATGGCCTGGAGGTGTAGGAGAAGCAGCAGGCAGTTGGGGTGTCAGCACCATCTGCAGAGGGAAGGGCACCGTGAGCCTGAACCCCAGCTCTGCAGTGGCAGAGAGCTGAGGCCTGATGCAAGAAGATGAGAAGGAAGTTGAGAGGACAAAGCTGAGAGCTATGGCTGGGCAGGGTTGTTCTGGGTGATGCTGGGCCTGGAGTCTTCCCTGGTCTTGCTCCAATCTGTGCCCTTCCTTCCCTCAGCCCCTCTCTTATTCAGGGTGAGCCGGATCCACATGTGCTGTTCTCTGACCTCATCTCTTTAGCAAAGGCTGTCTGGCAGATTATCCCAGCAGCCAGAAAGCCAACCATGGGCTGCGCTCATGAGCTATGTAAGTACCCCACCCCAACACCCATAAAAGTTCCTGTGGGGACCTGGTGGGTCAGGAAACAGGGTTCCCCTTGGAGCCAGAGGTCTTGGATTCTGCTACCCCCACAAGCTAGTTCAGATTCCTCTTTGCCTTGGGTGACATTGGGGCTGCAATCCTCCTACCCTGCTCTGCCTCTCTGAGAAGTGGGAGAGTAAAGAATCCTTTAAAGGCTGAAAATGAAAGAGAATAAACAGAAAGGTTAAGCTCTTTTACAACTCTTTAAGAAACCCTCTTTCCTCACTGGCCTCTCTGGACCACAAGATAAGATTCATGTGACACAGGGAGGACAGAGCATGGAGACTCCATAGCCCGAGAAGACTTACAGGGCGCTGAGAGGACCTGGCTGCAGAGGGCCAGGGTGCAGAGGAGAATGACCAGGGCAGCTTCAGGGGCCTGCATGTTGCTGAGCGGATGAGAGAGGTGGGCTGGAACGTCTCAGGGTGCTAGTTGTGTCCTGTGTCACTCTGGAGGTGAGACCATCTCCCTGACTCTTTATAGGCAGCCCTGGCAGAGGAGGGGATGGAATCTGGGGGCGTAAAGGGAAATTTTTAAGCATAGGAGTTTCTGTCACGCTGAGTATTGCAACAACTCGAGGTGTCCGTTACCACAGGGACTCAGGATATCCAAGAATAGCTTCTTGCGCTCTCAGTCTCAGCCCACAACCCATGACTGGTCCTGACTCTTTGAGAGGAAGTGATTCCCCCACTTGACAGATAGAAGGCGTATGTGTGTGTGTGTGTGTGTGTGTGTGTGTGTGTGTGTGTGTGTGTGTGTAACCCTGGCTTATTCTGAGCATGTCCCGTCCCATATGGATGGGTCCAGAAATGATCTCTCCAGTCCCGTCTTTCCCACCAAGCTGAAACCTCTGCCCTTTCTCAGCACCTCTGATCACTTGGATGGATGAACCTCAGAGGTATCAGACCCCCGTAGAGAGTGCCAGCAAAGGAAAAGAGGAAGGAAGGAAAGAATCATTGCTGGAGAATGAGGATTCCTCATACCACACACACACACACAATTCTATTGCTGGCTCAGTCACCCTGCAGTCACTTGGTGACTAGGCCATGGGGGCAAATTGAGTCATGGCTCAACATGAAGCATTAGCTGTGGGTGTCCATAAGACAGGCAGCCCTGATACATGTTCCTTTAATGAAGGAAAAGATTTCTAGGAATGAGTTCTAAAGAAACCGAAATAAAATACAAAGTCATCTTCCCAAACACTAATGTCAAAGCCAGCCCTTTGATAGCTCACTTTCTCCATCAGGGAGAAGAATTGGTGACTTATCCTGTGGATTATTATTGCATCCTTATATCAAATGAAGTGCCATAAATACAATAAAATATGAGTAGGGCAAAAGTCAGATGAAAAGCAGGCGAACTGTACAAGATGACATGTACCCAAACTATATGTGGGTAGGAGAGATATTACAGGGGTTATAACACTTGCCTTCCACAGGTTAGCACAAGTTTGATCTCTGGAATGGCATACTCCTCTGAGCAACACTTGGACTGACCAATGACACAGAGCTGGGATAACCTCTAATCATTGTCAAGTGTGACCCAAAATGAGAAAAAATAAATGTGTGGATATATATTTCTATATGACAAATATGGGCTGGAGCAATAGCAGAGTGGATAAGGTGTTTGCCTTGCACGCAGCCGACCCAGGTTTGATTCCTCCATCCCTCTTAGAGAGCCAGTATCCCGCCTGCATGGCAGAACCTGGAAAGCTCTCTGTGGTGTATTCAATATGACAAAAACAGTAACAAGTCTCACAATGGAGACATTACTGGTGCCTGCTCATGCAAATTGATGAAAAATGGGACAACAGTGCTACAGTGTTATATGACAAAAATGATAATCAGATATACTTGTTATTTTATGCAAATACATATGTAAATGTATGTGATAGTGTGTATGTGTGAATGTATGTGGATAGGCATGGGGAAGACATTGAAAATAAATGCCCAAAAGTGTCAATAGTAAGTATCATTGGTAATAGATCTAAGAGTGATTAATGCTCTCTTTCTCTAGGTCTTTTTTCTCCTTTTTAAAAGAGAAGTGATATGTATTATCTTCCTGGCCGGCCTACAAATTTATGAGCACACTGTGAGAACATCATTGCCACATCATTAAAAAGTCTTCAATTGTTAAATTTTTTAAAGAAGTTTTAGATAAATGCACTGTTTCAGTCTAATAGCCTTAACTAAAATTAAGTCTTAACTTCCTTTTCTTTGAGCTGATATGCTATTTATAAGGAACTGATATGCTATTTATATAATATGCTATTTACAAGGAATTGATATGCTATTTATATAAAAATGGACCATCCAAAGCAGTTTATTTATAAATATATATTTTAAAATAATAAGGTTCTGGAAGTGTCCAATTTCTTTGTCCAATCTATTTTTTCCATCCCGTTTACTGTAAAATAGGAACAAACAGTATTTTATGATGAGACATTGATTAAAGTTCTTTCATGCTCATTGTCTTCTAGATCCCTACTTCATGGGGACAAGCAAAATAAACATACAGGTAAGCACAGCTATATACAGCAGAAGGAACCACAAATTCCCATGAGCAAAGACGAAGGATGGCATGGAGGCACCAATGAGCTCCCTCAGGAGAAGGGACACCTTCTCAGAAGGAATCAAACCTGTGTCTAGGAAGCTTTGCCATCCTAGACACAGGTTTGTATAGTATCTGCACCATCCAAGGGGATGGTCCTGCGCCCAGTGCTGCAGAGGCAAAAGAGCAGAGGCCCAGTGTCACTGCAGAGCAGTGGAGCAAATATGAAGATGATGCTCACTTGAGGCCAACCCCAGAGGGCTCTGAACCCCTGACCCAGCCCCAGGGGTGAAAAAATGCAGGAATTAAGATAGAAACAAAACATGACCACATCTTAAGGAGTCAGGTCATTTTGTGTATGCAGAGTTCTTACTCTTTTTTTGGGGGGGGGGAGGAGAATAATGCTATTTATTCAGCCACTAATTAGGCTGATTGAATTATGCATGAACTCCACCTTACCTTTTGTTTTCCATTTTTTATAATTTTATTTATTGAATCACCATGAGAGCAGTTACAAAGGTTTCAGGTTTAAGTTTCGGTCATATAATGAAACACTCGTGCCTTCACCAGTGCCCATTCTCCACCAATAAAAACCCCAGTATACCCCCATCCCAAACTCTCCCCCTATCTGTAGGGCAGATAATTTTCAAATTACTCTCTCCCTACTTTGATCACACTCAATATTTTGACACCATACCCACCATTATTATTTGGGATTTTACCCCAACACTCAGATCTGCCGAAAAGGCAACACTAGACAATTTGTTTTCTATTGCTGGTTATGAATAACAGATGATGCCACGCAGCTGCAGTAGTAGTGGCTGCAAGATTTTGAAATTCTGAAATTTTAACAATTAAATCTGGAGAGATTTCTTGCCAAAACCTGCTGGGTTCCGAGATTTGTTCCTGAGTCTCTGGGATCACGGTCGTTAAGCAGCTTGATCAGGAGCCAGGGAGGCTGTTCGTGGGTGATGACTTGGGGTCTCGTTGGGGTGGGGAGGACAGGTCCGGCTTTCCCCCATCCCATGATGCCCAACAAGTTTCGTCACTGTGGGCCCAAGCCTGTCTGTCCAATGGCCTCTGGAGGATGACGGCCACCAAGCCACCAAGGGGGAGCAGGCGGAGTGACAGCACCCTTTCGTCCCTGGGGTGACCCGGCGACAGTAACCTACTGTGGGGTCTGGACGTATTTCTGCCAAAAGCCGCTGGGTTTCGAGATTTGTTTCTGAGTCTCTGGGATTGTGGCCGTTAAGCAACTTGATCAGGAGCCAGAGAGGCCGTTCGTGGGCGATGACTTGGGGTCTCTTTGGGCTGGGGAGGACAGGACTGGCTACACCCCCATCCTGTGAGGCCCTGTGTGTCTCGTCACTGGGGGCCTAAACCTGACTGCCCAATGGCCTCTGAAGGATGGGCCGTGGAGTGGGGGGGAACAGGCCAAGGCATGAAACCTATTCCCACCTGGCTTGGCCCAGCACTGGTAACCTACTGCATGGACCAGACGCATTTCTGCCAAAAGCTGCTGGGTTTCAAGATTTGTTTCTGAGTCTCTGGGATCATGGCCATTAAGCAATTCGATCAGGAACCAGAGAGGCCATGCCTCCAATTACATAACTGAGCCAGAGGTGGTTTGTGGGTGTGTTTCCCACATACCTAACTTTTGGCCGTTTACTTTCTTGGTAAACTGTGCCCCAAGTTTTTGGGGTCTGGCCAAAGGCACAGCAGCAATTTGGGGGTATCTGGAAGTCTGAAGGTGCCATCAGGCTGCTGATGCACTCTCCTCACAGGTACAGATTGACCTGCTGGTGAGATTTGTTTCTGAATCTCTGGGATCATGGCCATTAAGCAGCTTGATCAGGAGCCAGAGAGGCCATTTGTGGGCGGCGACTCGGGGTCTTGTTAGGGTGGGAATGAAAGGGCCGGCTCCACCCCCATCCTGTGAGGCCCCATGTGCCTCGTCACTGAGGGCCCAAACCTAACTGTCCAGTGGCCTCTGGAGGATGACAGCCAATAGGCCACCAGGGAGAAAAAGCAAGTCACTATTCCCACCTGTCGTGGCCCAGCGCCTGTAACCTACTCCAGGGACCAGACGCATTTCTGCTAAAAGCCATTGGGTTTTGAGATTTGTTTCTGAGTCTCTGGGATCTTGGCCATTAAGCAGTTCGATCAGGAACCAGAGAGGTCATGCCTTCATTATATAGCTGAGCCGGAGGTGGTTTGTGGGTGTATCTCCCACTTACCTAACTTTTGGCCATTTACTTTCTTGGCAAACTTTGCCCCGGGTTTTTTGGGTCTGGCCAAAGGCACAGCAGCAATTTTGGGGTATCCGGAAGTCTGAAGGTACCATCAGGCTGCTGATGCACTCACCTCACAGGTACAAATTGACCTGCTGGTGGCACCATACCCCCAAGAGTTCTACTCTTAAAATCCATGAGCCCTTTTTCCCATCTCATCTCTAGGAGAGTCAGTGCTGGTCATGAGGGAGGCAAATCGAAGGACAGGTGAGGAGCCATGGCAGGCTGCACAGGGCATGGGGTGAGGGGTTAGCACCCCTTGGCATGGCCATTTCCAAAGAACTATCCCGTGCTGCACTGGAAACTAGATGGAAGACAAGTCCTCCTCTTTCACCCACTTCCTTAGCCCCAGGCCTATGCTGAGACCATGTATTGCATTGCCTTGTCCACTTGGGGAACCCCCCACTTAGTGGTGAGTCAGTCACTGAGAGTAGGCATCTATGAGTTGGGGAGAGTGAGAAAAAGGAAATGGAAATTGCGAAGCCATCACTTCCCTGGTATGGGACCTCTAGGATCACAATGTGACCACACTGGGTAAGAATTCATTTAAATTTTATGATCAGTGGCCTAGAGATCTTACCCCCACAGCTGATTACTTGGTTTAAGCCAAATGCTGGGGGACAGAATCATAGTACAGTGGATAGAGCACTTGTCTTGCATGAAACTGACCTGGGTTCAATCAATCCTGCTCACCCACGTATAGTCCCTGGAGCCCCACCAGGAGTGATTTCCAAGGGATAAGCCAGGATTAAGCCCTGAACATATCTAGTGTGCCCCAAGAAATAAAAACAAGTTTGAACCCAAAATGTGGAATCAACACTTCTTAAGAAATCTTGACTTGTCTTCACACCCTACCGAGGCCACGAGTTGCCCCCCATGAGCAGCTCTCTGGCACGGCCATGGCTCCAGAGGCAAAAGGACTTAGTCCAGAACCCGGCAGCTTACAGCAGAAAAGTGAATGGACTATGAGTTAAACTCTGGCGCCATGTCTCCCAGGGAGGGAAAGGGTGTCTCTCCCTTCCACCTTCCCCCCCACCACCCCTGGCAGCAAGGTGACCACCGCCTCAGAGCTTATTGGAAAGCCAGGTATGGGCCGGCGGTTACGGGGCAACTGCAGCCTCATGGGAAGGGAGGCGGTACCAGCTCATCCTTCACGCCCTACTGAGGGCAATGGCACGGCCATAGCACCAGACACACAGAAACCAATCTCATAATTATCTGACTCTTGGCAGAAATCCCTCCAGCCTTAAATAGTAAAATTCACTGTATCACTGTCATTCTGTTGTTCATGGATTGCCTCGAGCAGGCCCCGGTAATGTCTCCTTCATCCTAGCCCTGAGATTTTAAAAAGTGCCACATTCGAGGCTCTTTGAGGGTCAGGAGAATGAGACCCATCATTGTTACTGGTTTTTGGCGTATTGAATATGCCACAGGAAGTTTGCCAGACTCTCCCGGGTGGGCAGGATACTTTTGATAGCTTTCCAGGTTCTCCAGAGTAAGAACTAGATAATAAGATGTCATGCGGCCACTGGGTTTTATGGTCTCTGGGTCTTGGCATGGCTGTTGCTGAAATTGGAGGTCTTCAGCTACCAGGGTTCTGCTCAGGGTGGGGAGGGAAACTCAACCCACCCTCCTCCAAGGGGCCTCAGTGAGGACAGCCAGGCGTAGAGGCAGAAGACTGCACTGTTCTCTCCCAGGAGAGGGTTTTATAGTCTCTGGGTCTTGGCCATTGATGAGATTATGACCACTCTCCACACGTTCGGACAAGCCTCACACATGAAGGAACCGGCAGAAGACCCCAGGTGTGCGGGATCTGGGGCGTAGATCCCCAAGCCTGTTTGAATTGGGACTGGGGCCTCTTCCACCCATATCCCCCATCTTCCAGTATGTAGGCGTTACACCCACCAACTGCCCCCAGCGCCATGTAATCCCATCAACGGCCAAGTAAAATATCAGAAATCCAAAATCACATGGTTCTCATAACCAACTATAAAAAACAAATTATTTCACAATGCCTTTTGGGCAGTTCTGATTGTTGGGAAATTCTAAACAACAATGGTGCATCTTTGGTAGAAATAATGAATGTAATCAAAGTAGAGAGAGAATTAAGTAGAAATCATCTGCCTCATAGGCATTGGGAGAGGTGGGAGGGGGCATATTGGGGTTATTGGTGGTGAAAAATAAGTTCTGGTGAAGGGAAAGGTGTTTGATCATTGTATGACCAAGACTTAAAACTGAAAGCTTTGTAACTTTTCCTACGATGATTCAATAAATAAATATAACAAAACAAAAAATAAATAAATAAATAAATAAAAGTAAGCAAAAGGAAAAAAAAGAAATCTTGACTTGTAAAATGTGGTACAGATATTTTCAATGGTCTCTGAGAAGTGAATTTTCCAAGAACAAGAGCATAATGAATTGGTTTAAAGCACATGCCCAATTTCAACCTGGTATAAAAACATCTCGCCCCATTTCATAGCTCTTCTTTCACCATCACTTTTTTTATTTGTTTACTCTGATGCTGAATTCAGCCTCACATATTTAAGGTAGGTGTCCCATGGGCTGGAGCGATAGCACAGCAGTAGGGCGTTTGCATTGCGTGCAGCCAGCCTGATTCGTCCGCCCCTCTCATAGAGCCCGGCAAGCTACCGAGAGTATCTTGCCTGCACAGCAAAGCCTTGCAAGCTACTCATGACATATTCAATATGCCAAACACAGTAACAACAAGTCTCCAAATGGAGATGTTACTGGGCCCGCTCGAGCAAATCAATGAACAAAGGGAGGACAGTGTTTTTGTTTTGTCCTACAGGTCAGCTGCATCCCAGCCCTACCTACATTATTTTCAACCAGAGATTCTGAATTGCCACTGAACCAAAACAAACTCAATGCCAGTCAGTTTGAAATGAGAATATTTATTATCTCTCCAGACTGAACTCACTTTGAACAGAAACATCCACCATACATTGATGGGTGGCTTTGGTGGCCTGTCTGCCTAAAACAGTCTGGTGACAGTGACCTGTGGTCTCCAGACACACTCCGGGGGAAATGGTAGGTGAGGAAGGCATCTGGAGTTCCCTGAGCACAAACCTTGCAAACCCTGTTTGAGCAAAATTTAGAAGAAATAAATATTACAAATAAGTTTCCGTTTAAATTAAAATGAATGCTAGCGTGTGAATGCACACCCCAGGCAAATCACGGCAGAGTCATCCATTGGGGGGAAGCGGTACTTCCAATGATCAGCCCCCTGCCTCATTGGCATTCCAAGGGCACATGGGTTCATTGGCACTCCAAGGTCATGTGGGCTCCCACCATCTCCAAACCAGCTGGTACTCTTCTCCAGGTCGCAGATAAGGTGCTGGACCCAGGCCTCACTGGGGTTGGCACAGATCCACCAGCCCCTTTTGGTCTGAAAGCTGTGAAAAGAAGGGGAGGATTAAGCCCAGAAGAGGGGAGCATGGAGAGAGAGCCCTGCACCCCATTCTGTCCCAGGTGGGACAGGGCCTGCCCCCTTTTTCAGGGACTCTGCCAATGTCACGGACTCAGAACTTCCCTCAGGGGTCCTGATGCCTCTCTTTTCCTTTCCTTCCCTCTGTATTTGTCCCTCCTCAAGTCTCTACTAACACTCACCAGCTCATGGAACCCACCAGCAGATCAGGTAACCCCCTAATAGGTCAGGTAACCGACACCAGCTCAGGGAATTCCCCATCAGTTCAGGGAATGCCCAGGTCTCAGCTCTGAGGCTCAGGGCTGGGCCTTCCTAGCGCAGTGACCCCAGGCCCACCTGTGTCCCTAGGCACTCTTCCTGCTCTAGACCCTCCCTCTTTCCCCAAGGGACAGGCAAGAAGTCGGGCACTTACATGATGCCCGGCTTGGAGCACTGGCTGCTGGTCTCAAAATAGCTGACCACGAATTTGCGTTTTATTGGCCTGGAGGTATAGGAGAAGCAGCAGGCTGTTGGGATGTCGGTGCTATCTGCAGAGGGAAGGGCACTGTGAGAGCCTGAACCCCAGCTTTGCAGTGGCGGAGAGCTGAGGCCCGATGCAAGAAGGTGAGAAGAAAGTTGAGAGGACAGAGCTGAGAGCTGCGGCTGGGCAGCGTGGCTCTGGGGGATGCTGGGCCCGGAGTCCTCCCCGGCCTTGCTCCCATCTGCTCCCTTCTTTCCCTCAGCCCCTCTCTTATTCAGGGTGATCCAGATGCACGTGCGCTGTTCTCTGACATCATCTCTTTATCAAAGGCTGTGTGGCAGTTATCCCAGCAGCTAGGAAAAAACAACCATGGACAGCACTCCTGAACTGTGCAAGTGCCCAACCCCAACACCCGTGAAAGTTCCTGTGAGGACCTGGTGGGTCAGGAAATAGGGTTCCCCTTGGAGCCAGAGGACATGGATTCTTACTCCCCCACAAGCTCTTCAGATTCCTATTTGCCTTGGGCAACACTGGTACTGCAAACCCCATCCTTGCTCTGCCTCTCCAGGAACGGGGAAAGTAAAGAGACTTTAGAAAGGGTAAAAATAAAAGGGTAAAGAGAGCATCAAGTTTCTTTGAACCTCTAAGAAGTCTTCCTTCATCATAGGGCCTCTTGGACAACAAGACAAGATTCATATGGCAGGGGGAGGCCAGCATGTGGGAACATCACAACCTGAGGGTACTCACGTGTCATCAGCATTGAGTCGTTCTGGCTGCAGAGGGCCAGAGTGCAGAGGAGGACAGCCAGGGCAGTGTGGGGGGCCTGCATGCTGCTGAGCAGAAAAAGGACAGTGGACTGGAGCTTTTCAGAGTCTCGCTGCAGCCTACGTCCCTCTGGAAAGGAGCCCATCTCCCTGACTTTATATAAGCAGCTCTGGCAGAGGGGGAAATAGAATCTGGGGGTGTGGAGAGAAGTTTTTAATGCATAAAGGTGAGTATTGCAACAACTTGAAGTGCCTATTACCACAGGGACTCAGGCTATGCAAGAATAGCTTCTCTTCACTCTGTCTCAGCCCACAGCTCATGACTAGTCCTGACTTCTTGGGAGGAAGTTAATCCCCTGTGAGAGGGAGAAGGGGTGTGTGTGTGTGTGACCCCTGATTATTCTGTGCTGGTCCCTTCCCATAAGGACTGGTCTGGGCATGGTCTCTCTAGACCCTTCTTTCTCAGGGAGCTAAAACCTCTGGCCTTCCTCAATACCTCTGATTATTCAGATGGATTATCCATGGAGAGTAGCAGATGCCCATAGATAGTGTCAGCAATGGAAGAAGGAAGGGAGAATGGCAAGAAAGCAGAAGACAAGAAGGCAGGGAGGCAGGGAGGCAGGGAGGCAGGAAGGCAGGAAGGCAGGAAGGCAGGAAGGCAGGAAGGCAGGAAGGCAGGAAGGCAGGAAGGCAGGAAGGCAGGAAGGAAGGAAGGAAGGAAGGAAGGAAGGAAGGAAGGAAGGAAGGAAGGAAGGAAGTCTCCTCTCTGGAGAATGATTCCTCATTCCACTCACACATGATTCCATTGCTGGCTCAGACCCCTTACAGTCCTTCAGTAACTAGGCCACAGGAGCAAGCCTTGTGCCTCAACGTGAAGCAATAGGTGTGGGAGTTAATAAGGCAGACATCCCTCCACATTGTACCCTTAACTAAAAAAACAGCGTTTTATGATGAAACATAGACTAAGTTCTTTTATGCTCTTTGTCTTCTAGATCTCTACTTCATGGGGACAAGCAAAATAAACATACAGGTAAGCACAACTATTTACAACAGAAGGAACCACAAATTCCCATGAACAAAGATGAAGGAAGCTCTGGATGCTGTGGAGGCACAATGAGCTCCCTCAGAAGAAGGGACACCTTCTCAGAAGGGATCAAACCTGTATAGAGGAAGCTTTGCCATCTGTATAGTATCTGCACCATCCAAGGGGATAGTCCTGGGCCCAGTGCTGCAGAGGCATAAGAGCAGAGGCCTAGTGTCGCTGCAGAGCAATGAAGAAAATATGAAGATGAAGCTCACTTGAGACCAACCTCAGAGGGATCTGAACCCCCAGCCCAGTCCCAGGGGTGAAAACAATGCATGAAATAAGAGAGAAACAAAACATGACCATGTCTTAGGAAGTCGGGCCATCTTGTGTGTGCAGAGTTCTTACTCTTAAACCCATGAGCCCTTTTCCCCATCCCATCTCTAGGAGACTCAGTGCTGGTCATGAGGGAGGCAAATCGAAGGACAGGTGAGGAGCCATGGCAGGCTGCACAGGGCATGGGGTGAGGGGTTAGCACCCCTTGGCATGGCCATTTCCAAAGAACTATCCCGTGCTGCACTGGAAACTAGATGGAAGACAAGTCCTCCTCTTTCACCCACTTCCTTAGCCCCAGGCCTATGCTGAGACCATGTATTGCATTGCCTTGTCCACTTGGGGAACCCCCCACTTAGTGGTGAGTCAGTCACTGAGAGTAGGCATCTATGAGTTGGGGAGAGTGAGAAAAAGGAAATGGAAATTGCGAAGCCATCACTTCCCTGGTATGGGACCTCTAGGATCACAATGTGACCACACTGGGTAAGAATTTATTTAAATTTCATGATCAGTGGCCTAGAGATCTTACCCCCACAGCTGATTACTTGGTTCAAACCAAATGCTGGGGGCCAGAGTCATAGCACAGTGGATAGGACAGTTGTCTTGCATGAAGCTGACCTGGGTTCAATCAATCCTGCCCACCCACATACGGTCCCTGGAGCCCCACCAGGAGTGATTCCCAAGGGCTAAGCCAGGATTAAGCCCTGATCATATCTGGTGTGATCAGATAATAATAATAATAATAACAATAGAAAAGAAATAGACAAAACAATAAAACAAAAAAAAACTTGCAGCCAAGAGTAAACCTCAATATGTGAGGAACTCTTCTTAAGAATTCTTGACTTGTTAAATGCGGTTTGAATATTCTTAATGGTTTCAATTTGAGAAGTGAATTTTCCTAGAGCGAGTGCATAATGAGTTGGTTTAAAGTACACACCCCATTTCAAACTTGCACAAAAGTAACTCACCCCCATTACACAGCTAATCTTTCACCATTGAGTCTGTTTATTTGTTTTCTTTGATGCTGGAATCCAGCCTCACACATTTAAGATAGGTGTCCTACAGCTCAGCTGCATCCCAGCCCTACCTTATATTTATTTCAATTGCAATTCTATTCTGCCACAAAACAAAACCAGACTTAATTCTAGTCTGCTTTCAAAATGAGCATCTTTATTATCTCTCCAGATGGAGCCCTACCATGAGCAGAAGCATCCAACATACACTGTTCCATGTGGTGGGTTTGGCCTAGACAGTTCCACTGATGACAGTGACACTATGGTCCCCACTCAGAGCTGAGGAAAATGGAGACAGGGAAGGCACCTGGAAATTCCTGAGGGCAAACCTTCCAAACACTTCTTGACCAAAATTTAGGAAAAAAAATAAATAGTATAAATAAGTTTCATTTTAAGTTAAGATGAGTGTTAGCATGTGATTGCACACCATAGGCAGCTCAGGGGAGAGGCATCCATGGATCTGATACTCATCTCCCTGCTTCATTGGCACTCCAGGTCACTTGGGCCCCCCAATGCCTCTGGGCCGGCTGGTACATCTCTCCAGGTAGCAGATGAGGTGCTGGACCCATGCCTCCCTGGGGTTGGCACACACCTGCCAGCCCCTTTTTGTCTGGAAGCTATGAAGAGAAGGGGAGGATTAAGCCAAGAAGAGGAGAGCATAAGGGGGGCATGAGAAGGGTGCCCTGCACCCCTTAATTCCCCACATGGGAGAGGGCCTACCCCCTTTTTCAGACACTCTGCCCATGTCACTGACTCAAGGCTTTCCTCAGAGGGTCCTGCTGCCCCCCTATTACCTTTTCTTCTTTGGCCTTCTCATGCCTCTGTACAAGCTCAGATACTCCCCACCAGATCAGGGATCCCTCCCAACAGCTCAGGTAAGTCCCCCAAACAGCTGAGGTAACCCTCCAATTACACATCCACCAAACTAGGCTACCATCAGCTCAGGGAATTCCTCCCCACCACCATCTAAGAGAACCCCCAGCAAGTCAGGACTTAGCTCTGAATCCTAGGCCTGCCCACTTACTAGTGCCTTCCCAGCATGGTGAGCCCAAGCCTGCCTGTGTCCCTGGGCACTTTCTCACTCCAGACCCTCTCTGTCACCCAGAGATACAGAGGAAATCAGGCACTTACATGATGCCCAGCTTGGAGCACTGGCTGCTGGTCTCGAAATAGCTGACCACGGATTTGCGTTTTATTGGCCTGGAGGTGTAGGAGAAGCAGCAGGCTGTTGGGGTGTCGGCACCATCTGCAGAGGGAAGGGCACCATGAGAGCCTGAACCTCAGCTTTGCAGTGGAGAAGAGTTGAGGTCCGATGCAAGAAGGTGAGAGGAAGCTGAGAGGACAGAGCTGAGAGCTGTGGCTGGAAGTGATGCTGTGGCTCTGGGTGATGCTGGGCCCAGAGTCCTTCCTGGCCTTGCTCCCATATGCTCTCTTCCTTCATGCAGCCCCTCTCTTATTCAGAGTAATCTGGATCCATGTGCACTGTTCTCTGACCTCATCTCTTTAGCAAAGGCTGTCTGGCTGATTATCCCAGCAGCCAGAAAGCCAATGACAGGCAGAATTCGTGAGCTGTGCAAACCCCCTAACCCAAGTTCCTGTGAGGACCTGGCGGGTCAGGAAACAGGGTCCCCTTTGGAGCCAGAAGACTTGGATTCTGTCACTCCCACAAGCTTATTCAGGTTCCTATTTGCCTTGGACAACATTGGGACTGCAACCCCCCCTTACCCTGCTCTGCCTCTCAGGGGATCAAAGAGCAAGACTTCTAAACAAGCAAAAGTAAAAGAGTAAAGATTAAGATCAAGGTTTTTTTTTCTTTTACAACCCTTTAAGAAATCGCCTTTCTTCATGGGCTCCTTGTACCACAAGACAAGATTCTTGTGGCAGGGTGAGGCCAGAGTATGGGAACTCCACAGCCTGAGGGGACTCACGTGGCATCGAGTGTTCCTGGCTGCAGAGGGCCAGGGCACAGAGGAGGATGGCCAAGGCGGCATGGAAGGCCTGCATGCTGTTGAGCAGAAAAGGGACAGTGCACTGGAGCAGCCGGGGTGCTCGATGTGGCTGTGTCTTTCTGTAATCTCCTGGGTTCTTCATAGGAAGCCCTGGCAGAGGGGGAAATGGAATCTGGGGATGTAGTGAGAAGTTTTTAAGACAAAGGTGCTGTCATGATGAATATTGCAACAACTCGAGGTGCTAGTTTCCACAGGGACTCAAGCTATGCAAGAATAGCTTCTCTTCACTCTGTCTCAGCCCACAACTCACGAAAGTCCTGATTTCTTGGGAGGAAGTGCTTCCCCCGTGAGAGGGAGAAGGTACATGTCTCAGTTATCCTGTTGTGGTCCCTTCCCATAAGGATCGATCTGGGCATGGTCACTTCAGCTCTTTTTTCCCAACAAGCTGAAATATACGGTTGTCCTCAGCACTTCTAACCATTCAGAGGGATGATCCATGAAGCATGGCAGCTGCCCATAGGGAGCAATGGAAGGAAGGAAGGAAGGAAGGAAGGAAGGAAGGAAGGAAGGAAGGAAGGAAGGAAGGAGAGAATGAAGAAAAAAATCTCCTTTTCCTCATTAAATACACACACACACACACACACACGATCCAGTTACTGGCTAGTCCCCCAGCAGTCCCTTGGTGACTCCAGGGTGAACCTTGTGGCTCAACAAAATGCAGTAGGTGTGGGTGTCCATAAGGCAGGCATTACCTTAAAGTCAGGCCTATTAATGAAGGAACAAATTTCTAGGAATGAGTTTGAAAGAAGTAACCCAGAGTCATATTTCCACACATTAATACCAGAACCAGCCGCATTGATAACTCACTTCCTCCATCAGGGAAAATAATTGATAACTTACCCACTGGATTATTATACCCTTAAATCGAGTGAAATTCCATGAATATAATTAAAATATGAGGAGAGGAAAGGCATATGGAAACAGTGTAAACTGTACAAAATGAAGTGTACCAAAAATATATGTGGGGTGAGAGACAATACAGGCATTAAGGTGCTTGCTTTGTTAATGGCTGACCCAGGTTTGATCCCCAGCATGGCATATTCCTCTGAGGAAAACTTCGCGTGATTCCTGTTTGCCACGCAATCCTTTAGGCAGTAGTCAGGTTGAGTCCACATGTGCAAATCAATGGGGACTCCCTCAAACTTTTTGGGTGCCACCTGTTTCTTGGTCAGAATTCCATAACAACAGAACCACTCAAAGAAACTGTGGTGACCAAGTGGCAACATGGTGGCTCCTTCAGCCTGGAGAGGTTTGACTCATGTCCTAGCTTTCCGACTCATTCAGCTACTTGAGGTCCTGCCTCAGTCCAACAGAACACAGCAGCCATGAGTAGAGGGGACTGGAGCTGAACGTGTCTCTTCTCATGATGCTCTGCTTACCAGGCCCTTGCCCTGCTGGATGGATCTCCTCCTCTAGGTGATTTAGAAGGCACCTAGGGCAAGTGGGAAGTGCTGGACTTCATCCCTGGTGCTGTGGATGTGCTGAGCCCATCCTCATTCACCTCTTTCTGGTATCTCTTGAGAGGGGAAAAAACAAGAAAATCTCTCCACCACTCTATTGTTCCCTGAATGAATTGCCCTGTACACTCTCTCCTAGGAGTGTCTATCTTGATCTTGGCTCTGTGGAGGGGCTCCCTGACAATGATGGCAGTGTTTGGCTCAGCTATGAGTTCTTTCATATTTGGGTGTGGTCAACCTGAAAGTAAGGGGTGCGGCAGATTTGATCCCACTTTTCACAGAGGTTAAAAAAAAACAATATCCGGGGGCCCTTTCTAACATCAAGTAGAGGTCATGTCTCATTAATGCAGCCCCTGTTTTTGTGGCCATGCCATTTCCTCTCTAGAGTTCTTGTCATTCTTCTCTTCTGACTCTGTGTGTGTGTGTCTGTGTGTGTGTGTGTGTGTGTGTGTACACTTGTGTGCAGTGTCAGGATATACTTGGTATTGAATTAGATCTTTTGACCCTCTTCCCTTAGTCCTGTATTTCTGCTCACTAAAAAGCATCCCCTCCTACTCAGCTTCCAACCCAGAAGCCTGGGCGTCACTCTTGCTCCCTCCCTCCCTTCACAGAATTAATCATCTACATCTCATCTTCCTGCTGCTGCTGTCTTAGATCACACCTTCCTCATCTTGTACCATGACCTGTCTTGTGTCTTAGCAACCGGCCTTGCTTTCCACTGCCTCCTCCCACTCTCAATCCTTTAAATAGGGCCCCCTGGAAAATGACTCAATGGCTTATGGCCCTACTTTGGCAAGGGTAAGGTCATGAGTTCAAATCCCATGCTACCCTCAAGCACAGAGGTGGTCTTTATAGTCCTGCTATTCGGGATCTCCAGCAAGAAATCACCAAAAAAGTGGCACAGCGATTAAGAAAGCACCCAGGGGAACTAGAGAGATAGCATAGCGGGTAGGGTGTTTGCCTTGTATGCGGCCAACCTGGGTTCGATTCTCAGCATCCCACATGGTCCCCTGAGCACCGCCAGGAGTAATTCCTGAGTTCATGATCCAGGAGTAACCCTTGTGCATTGCCGGGTGTGAACCAAAAAGAAAAAAAAAAAGAAAGCACCCAGGGCAAGTGGAAGGTGCTGGACCTCATGCCTGGTGCCACTGATGTGCTAAGACCATCCTCACCACCTTTGTCTGGGGTCTCTTAAGAGGTGGTGGGAGGGTGGAAAAAGAAATCCTTCCAACACACCATTGTTCCCCAAATGAAATAGAGGCTTTTGCTTTATGACCCTGCCTCCCTATTTGGCTTCTTTCTTGCCCTTTTCCAACTTCCTGGAAACCATGATGCAGCCTTCCGGACAAGCTCATAACTCCTTAAACGTGAAGGTTTTCTCTCTGCTTTCTATGAATGAATGTCATTTTGGCAGAGAACAGTTTTTCCTTCTTGTAACTCACGGGGAAGAGTGCTATCAGCATGGACACATCCTGGGGCAATTGCAAAATTAATATTTAGAACAAATAAGAAAAAGCACTCTTGCTTCCCTAATTTTATCAGGAAAGAGGGAAGTCCATGAATTCCACTTTTGAATAAAAGTATGCCAAATGGAATGGCATTTTCAACCATAAACAGATCTCTGACTGTTCAATTTTTAACAATTATGATAAGCACACTTTTCTCTTCTAATTTACTTATTCATTGAGCCCAACCTTCTTGGTATTATTTCCAAACCTGTCGCCTAGTAGCTATGTGTGTTTTATAGATTACTTAGTGCTTTGTGCCTTGATTTCCTCATGAGTAAAGGGCCTATATCTGAAGAGGTAAAAATGAGGTACATTAATATCTATAAAAGGCCCCAAATATGATTGTCTTTCACACACAGTGCTATGTATTAGTGTTATTTTAATGATTACTGAAACATTTAAAAAATCTTTTAAAAATTATACACAATATATAAAATAATAATACATATATTTATATAGTTTCAGTCTCTCGTTTTTTTCCCTGGTTACTCATCCACCCCTATACTCTCAGCCTAAATAATCATCCTTCAAGTCTCGATTCAGTTTATAAAGCAGCTGGAATGAACTTTATCCAGGTAATAGTTCATTAAATCACATATAGATTTTGGTCTAAGGAGTTAGAGTGATAGCACAGTGGGCAGGGCATTTGCCTTGCACACAGCCAACCAGGGTTAGATTCTTAACATCCCATATGGTCCACCATGTACCACCAGGAGTAAATTCATGAGTGCAGAGCCAGGAGAAATCCCTGAGCATTGTCGGGTGTGACCCAAAAAAATTTTGGTCTAACCATGTAATAAGATATCATTATTGGATAATTTTGAGTTTTAAATTATGTAGAGGAATGTTAAGTAATGACACAATACTGTACAGGGAAAATGATTTAGCAACAATAGTAAAATACTGAGAATAAAATGATGGGACATTTTTGTCTTCCTATATTTTCAATTTTTTTATCGTACCCATATGAATTTTCTATTTGTTTTAAAAAGGAAACATACATTAAAAAATAGGCATCACATTTGGGGAACCTTCCTTTACATTTCACTGCTGCTTTCATTAGCCCCCATCTCCCAGACTGGCCACAGTGCTTGTCACAGAGCAAGTGTTCAACCAAGTTTTCCTGGATTATTTCCTCTTCTTGCTGGATATTTCCTGTGACCAGCCTAGAAACAATCAGAAACAGGTAGAAAGATAGTGTTTGAAGAAGGAAAATGACTTCATATCAACAAACAAAAGTGTTTTTGAACCTACCAAACTCTGTTGACGCTTCATCCTTCCCTCAGGAATTTAATGTTCCTTAAAGTCACTCTTTAAGAAGAGGGCAGCCCTGACTGAGGGCCTGAGGGTGCCCATCACTGTTGATACTTCAACCCATGTACTGCCCCAGAGCCTCAATCCTCTACTTAACATGGATAATTGTGTGTTTGTTTCTTTACTCTACAATCTAGTTTCCTCTCCCTGTTTCCTCTGAGTGACTTGGTTACCACATAGGTCAAACCAAAGGAGTGTGACCTCTTCTTGGTTTATTTTTTGTTTTCTTTTTGGGTCACACCCAGCGATGCTCAGGGGTTATTCCTGGCTCTCTGCTCAGGAATTACTCCTGGTGGTGCTTGGGGGACCATATGGGACACCGGGGATTGAGCCCTGGTCGGCTGCGTGCAAGGCAAACACCCTACTGGCTATACTGTCACTCTGGCCCCCATCTTATCTTGGCAAATTTCCATATTTTCAGCTCATGTTGACTTCCTTTTTTTCCTTCAGCATTGATTCTAAAGGGTTTCTCTAGTTCCAGGTCTCCTACCTCCTACACACTGGTGCTTTGAGTCTCAACCTCTCACCCTCCCTGCCACCTCCCCTGTCCTCCTAGCCCCATGGTCTTCCCAACTCCCATAGTCTCAACATTCTCAACATTCTCAATAGTCTCAACACTCTCCTAGGAGAGCACAGAATATCGGGCAGATCACCTCTTCCCCCACATTCCTCAGCAACTCTGCTCTGTCTTCTCTTCTGAGAAGAGAAGTTTGGGA